AGGGCTCACTCTGTGGCAGTCTCGTGTGCTGTCTCACTTTCCTCACCCGCCTCTGCATCAATCCAATATGCAGCCAGAAGCTTCTCTGCGGGGGCTTTGATGACTTCCCTGGGGTAAGAAGACTAATTGCAAGGCTTTTACTTTTGAAAGGAACAATTATAGTTTCCATTATTTCCTCATTTAGATGAGAATTTTAAATTGTCCCCTATCATTTACCCTGCATCATTATAGAATCTCATCCTCATCAGAAGACTCCCTGTCCTGTAGCTTTTGTGCCATGTTTTCCTTGTGTGTGGCGTTGAGAGGCCTATAGGTTCACTTTGATTGGAACCCCACCCAACCGGCAGAACCTGCTGGGCTGTCTTCCAGGCCCACTGATCCTCTGGGGGACCGTGAACTATCACCCCATGGCTTGCACCGTTCTTCACCTCATATTACTAAACCACCAGCAGTATCTGTGGTCCTTTTGGTAGATTATCAAGTCTTGTTCATTCAGAATTTCTTTTACTCATTAATGTATTTAACTCTCACTGACTTAATAAATGTGATTAATGACTTTCTTTGCAGGAGTGGAAGAGCGTTTGCACCTTCCGCAGGTGGCACTGTCATTATAGAATCACTTGGAATCATGCAGCTCGTGGCCTGTGCTGGCTGGGGCAGGAGGTGGCTAGGTTTGCTGCTGGGCTGAGCTGCAGGGAGCCGAGTGGCACACAGCTGACCCGCAGTGGGGTCAGGAGAGGCCAGGGCCTGAGGAGGGCCGTCTTGGGCAATGGCTACTCTCGCACGTTCTTCCTTACCCTGCTTTTCTGGCACCTCCCTGCTAGTTATCCAAGGGTAGGGATTTTTTTTTAAAGAAAAAAAAACCACCCAATGGGAATTTTCCCCCAGTTTGAAGTGGTGGAGAACCCCCTACCAAGACAGGGTACACATTTGATTTAATGATCTATGCCCCTTGAGGATGGTATGTTTTCCAGTTCCCAGGGACGGATGATACTGGGCAAACAAGGGAGGGAAGCCCCTCTTCATCCTTCTACTCATCCTCCTTTGCCCACATTTCCCCTTGTGGAAGTACTGGCTACCATGAGGGATTCTAGTTTCAGCCCCGCTTCTTCTTGCAGGCCCTTGTTATTGGTATATAAATATTCAACTATTTACATTTGAATTCCTTTACCACATGGTTAAATTTGGTTATGAATTTATACATTTTAATATCAGAAAAATAAGTATTTTTACAGGCTATGCTGAGAAGCCAATATGAGAAGCCATTTTAAGAAGAAAATAACATTTGCAGGTGGCTTGAGTCAGAACAGGGCTCACTCTGTGGCAGTCTTGTGTGCTGTCTCACTTTCCTCACCCGCCTCTTCATCAATCCAATAGGCAGCCAGAAGCTTCTCTGCTGGGGCTTTGATGACTTCCCTGGGGTGAGAAGAGTAATGCCAAGGCTTTTAATTTTGAAAAGAACAATTATAATTTTCATTATTTCCTCATTTTAGATGAGAATTTTAAATTGTCCCCTATCATTTACCCTGCATCCTTATAGAATATCTCATCCTCATCAGAAGACTCCCTGTCGTGTAGCTTTTGTGCCATGTTTTCCATGCATGTGGCGTTGAGGGGCCTATAGGTATCCTTAAGCCAAAGTGGCCGCCTTCTCCCGAAATCGCCCTCCTAGAACACAGAAAGGGAAGTATTAATTCTGCATCTCCCCTGCTTTCTCTGGCCACAGTACTTTACC